CGAAAACTCTTGCAAGTGCTTACTGCATAACAACCTGAGAGAAACCTGTTCAGGTTTAGGACCATTGCGATGAGAATCAGGAAAATTATTCTATTGGACCTCTCTATTTTTTTTCTTCTAATAAGCGCGATGTTGGGGAGAATATTGTGTCATATCTAGGTCACAACAATAAATTAAGTCTTATTGTTTTATAATTTTAATTTTTTTTTAATTCCAAGAATTATTATTTTCTTATTATAGAAGAGTTTGGTTGATTTATAAATATGACAATTAGAAAATAAATATTTGTATAGCAAAAAATTTTGAATAAGAGAAAATTTTAGAAACTATTTAAATTTAAAAAAAAAAGTATTAAATATTTTTTTTTACTAGTAACAAACACACCATAATAACAAATTTTTGATTGGTAAAAGAACAAGAATAGATCTCACAAAATTAGAAGGATTAGGTGGATTAGTCATGTGATCAACCGAAAAGACACATGTATAAAACTCGACTAATTATTACCATCTCAAAAAAGCAAGATTTTTTTTCAATTAATTAAAAAAAAAATTTTAATGTCGTGGTGAGTCTCAAAGTGTATCAAGCCACCCTTGATGTGCTATTTGAGAAATTTTGAGAATTGCAGGACAAGTAAGAATATTTAGATCTGTTTGCTAAAAAAAATGTACTTAATAATAATAATCTATATATATCTATAATTACTATGGATAGTATCATATAAGCTTGGGAGACACTAAATAGGATTGAACCTCACTCATCCTAGTTCATGGTTGGTCTAAGTTTAACCCCATCACTTTACCAGGCCTGAAACAATTGTGTTTAACGGTTTATGTTGGTTGTCCTATTATGAAATAGAGAGAGAATACATATACTCTAAAAAATTTAAGAATTTCTATTTTACATTCTCAAAGATAAAATTTTTTGTATTACACCCTTAATGTATCAAAAGTGTTGTAATGTGACTTTTTTGTTAAATTTTGTTTTTTTTTTTAAGTGTCACTGGAGTGGTTTTTTACGAAAAAAATAATAGAAACTATATTGTAACACTTTTGGTACCTTAAAAGTATAATGTGAAAAATTTTATCTTTAAAGGTACAAAGTAAAATTTTTTAAATTTTTCACGGTACAAGTTATGGATTGGGTGATAAACATGCGATTTTGGGTATTACATGTAGGACTGTCAATGAGTCGTGTCAAGTTCTTGTTGTATTGTGTCAAAAATTGTTTAACTCATATTCAAACTCATTTATGTTTGTATACAGTCGAATTTGTGTTGGGTATATGCCACGTATAAGTTGTCGTTAGTTATTTGCGCTGTTAGTTAAATTTCGTGCTAACTTTTTTATTTGATGAGTTTAATGAGTCTCTTTATTTATCACCTGGATCCACTCTCAACCCAAATTTGTAATTTATGTCAAGTTCGCGAGTCAGTCTCTAAAACTAACAAGCCTAATTACTTGATGTGGTTTATGTTTTCTCGAGGAACCAGGCCTGCTGCAGGTGTATCAATTTGTAACACGAAGTTTGGTTTAGCATCCGTGGGACGGTTGAGTAGACAGAGATTTGGAAGGCCTGGTTCCTCGAGAAAAGATGCATGTATAAAACTTGAATAACTATCCATGTGATCAATTGAAAAGATGCATGTATAAATCTTGAATAATTATCACCATCTCAAAAAGCAAGATTTTTTTTTTCAATTAATTAAAAAAAATTCATTTAGTGTCGCAGTGAGCCTCAAAGTGTATCAAGCCACCCTTGATGAGCTACTTGAGAAATTTTGAGAAATGCAGGACAAGTAAGAATATTTAGATCTATTTGCTAAAAAAGTGTTTTTAATCATAATAATCTATATATATTTATAATTCCTATGGATAGTATCATATAAGCTTGGGAGAATTTTGTTATTTTTTTCGTAAGTGTCACTGGAGTGGTTTTTGATGGAAAAAATAATGGAAGTTAATAGAAGAATCACATTGTAACATTTTTAGTACCTTAAAGGTACAATGTGAGAAATTTTATCTTTGAAAGTATAAAGTGAGAATTCTTAAATTTTTTAAAGGTTCAAAATGCAATTCACCCTATGAAGTATTACAAGTTATGGACTAGGTGATAAACATGCGATTTTGGGTATGACAGGTAAGACTGTCAATGAGTCGTGTCGAGTTCTTGTCGTATTTATGACGTATTGTGTCAAAAATTGTTTAACTCATATTCATACTCATTTATGTTTGTATACAATCGAATTCGTGTTCGGTATATATCACGTATAACTTGTCTTTAGTTAGTTCGCGTTGTTAGTTAAATTTCGTGCCGACCTTTTTATTTGATGAGTTTAATGAGTCTCTTTATTTATCACCTGGATCCACTCTCAACCCAAATATATAATTTTGTGTCAAGTTTGCGAGTCGTCTCTAAAACTAACAAAGCCTAATTACTTGATGTGGTTTAACATCCATGCGACGGTTGAGTAGAAAGAGATTCAAAAGGCAAAACTTTACGCAATTTATCATTTTTCTAAGTGAAAATTCTTCTCATACAAGTTGTTCTATCTTGTTTGGTCAGATATTTACAAATGGTCGCAAGCTAAACCAATATGCTCCGCCCGAGGAATGAAAGAAAAAATGAACAGGGTCATAAAAAATGAATGGGAGGAATATGTCTTCCAATCTTGCTTTGAGATAATTTCCTCAGTAGTTTCTCAAGAACTTTTTAAGTTTCTTAGCAAAGTTAGTAGTACAATTGGTTAAGTGAAATAAATTTGGTATTATATTTTTATTTATCACATTTATAAATATTTTTATTACTGTTGTGAGTGTTTTTATTACTGTTGTGATACCGAAAAAAGTGACAAAAATAGTTACTATAACAATAATAAAAATATCCACAACAATGATAATTTTTTTTTTGTACAGGAAAAAAGTGCTAAATATAATTCCTACAATAGTGGTAAAAACACCTCAAAAGTGATAAATTTTTTTGTTGTAAAATGATTTACAAAAATTATAAACACATTTTTTTCATCGGTACCGTAAAATCCAAATTGATATTGTAGAGTAGACCAATTTAGAGTATCTCTAATCTTGACTCAAATTGAAATTTGAATCAAAATGGCCAAAAAAATTTCTCCAACCTTGGAGTCAAATTCATACCAAATCAAGACAAAACTTATTCTGGACCCAAATTGAAGCAGACTCAAATTCTATATTAAATTTTTAACGGTAACTTTTTAACCTATCCAAAATTAAAAGACTTCTTTGACTACTTGTTTATTGTCTCTTCTTGCCTTTCTCTACGACACTGCTTCCATCGCCGACTACCACCGAAACTTTCACAAATAATTTGAGGGCTTGTAGATAAGTTTTTTGTTTTTCATCTTCCATCTTAACTTTTTATATTTTTCAAAACCCTAATCTCACTCATCTTTCATACTACATAAAACTTAAGCTTACCCATGAAATTTTTCTTTGATTTTTTCGAGTTAAATACTATCAGTAGTACAATTTCAAACCACCGATTCTTCCTGAAATTTTAAGCTTTCTGTACCCACAAATTTAGAAAATTTGTCATTTTATTTCTTCAATCATCCATTTTTGTTAAAAAAAAAAAAAGGTATATTTTTGTGTTCTTCAGACCATGCTCATGTTAACTATTTTTTTTTCTTCATCTAGATTTATTAAAAATGATAAGGAATTAGAATAATTTTAGAATTCTCGGGTGTTTTCTTTATTTTCATATAGTGTTATATACATATTCATTTTTTTTTAATTATCCATTTGTGGAGGGATGAAAGTTTTATTTATTTTATGAAATATTATGATTTGAATGACACAAAAAACAAAAATTGGGATAATAAAATTTTAAAAAATTTGAATAGATATCGGAGTTTGCCCATTGAATTACTCTATACAAAATCAAGTTTTTTACTCAAATTTAGACTTAAATTTAATTCTAAATTTAAGTTATGATTGAAGATGCTCTTACTCAGCTTCATTTTGTTCATTCCTAGATCTGCAAGGTCATTAAAACTACACTGATAGCTGCCCAAATCGCGTGTCCTTTGGACTTGTGATTACAACGTAAATTCAAAATAAGTGCAACCACCTATCACCAACACAGATTACATCAACAAGACATCTTTTACAAGAGTCAAACTTGAGAACTCGGATAATAAGGTCTTTCCATTCAGAGTTGAAGCTGCCTTGATGGGTGCTGACGAGTCTCTCTTAGTGACACCATATCAAACACCAAATCATACAAGCAACTGAAAGTAGGCATTTTTAATAATTCAAGCAGTTTCATAGTCCGAACATACGCTTCATCAACGGCCAGTTTACAAAAGCAGGATCAATTGACCAGACACAGCAACTCTATAGTTAAGAACTAAACAGTATCCTATTTTGGATTACACCATTTAAGCCACATGAAGAACACTAACTTGATCAATAACAGGGCCACAGAGAGATCCATAGTCGTCAACCCTTGTGTGGTAAAACGAACTGAAGAAAGTTAATCTGGTCCGGGCTGAAATTGCTGTGAACTTGAAGCTAACAGTTTTGAACTCACCCTTTCCCCGGGATGTGAAGGGAGCTTTCAGAGTATCTTTTGCAGCAAATGCTTCCACCATCATCGATCCATGGCAACCATTCTTTGCGTCCCCTACAGTGAATGTACAATTGTAAACTTTGTTGGGGACTGTTCGGATGATTTGGGCAATGGCACTTTCTCTCCCTGCAACCAATTCAATGGCTGCAAGTCCAAAGGGGACATTGAAGTGCTTTGAATCTATGAACTTGACAGCTTTGAGGGATTCAATGATCCAGCCAGGAAGTGGGGACATGAGATCTTCCTGTTTGGGTGGGAGGAGCACTCCATTGGAAGAGTTCATGAATCGATGGGGACCCTCCTCGAAACCACTGTTCTTGATCAAATTACCTGCAAGAAATCATCAAGAAAACAGATCAAAACTAAGGGAAGACATCAGAAAATCCAGATTATACAGGACAGAAGGTTTCCGATATGTGTGTTAGCAGTATGGATAATGTTTGAGCTTTCAAGTTCCTCCAAATTTTACTGGATTTTAAGAATCAGCCAAAAGTAAACACAGAACTGGGGACAGGAATACAAAATACATGTTAGATCTGAAGTACCAATTAGCGAATGGGGCAGATAAGCGAACACACACACACACACATTGGGGATCAATTACTCACAAGGAACAAATTAATTACATTAGAGACTAATACACTTGACGAATCAAATAAAACTGTATCTAGAGCATCGAAATGTGAATGTTTCTAAAACATTGAATAAACCCCAGACGAGTTGCCTAACTGGTTTTCTTCCTCAGTGACATATTAGGACAACTTTATAATCCAGTTACATGACTGAGAGGAATGGATTTTTCTATGGTGATTTTCTGCACCATATCGATAGTTACAACCTAATGGTCAAGTTACGACTCAAACATACCAAGACATGACTAAATGGGATCGGTTTGGAATCGAATCAAAAAACTTGGGTCGATCCCACCATTTTAGGAATGATCCACTTTTCTGGACCCAATTGATTAGCAACTTTGACCTCATTGGATTGTCTGTAACTTTTTTCTGAATGTTGCCAAAAAAAAACCCTTTTGGTACCATATATTTTCGGAGAGCGCTATATCAAAAACAACCACTTAAGTTCCAAAACAGATGAAACAAAGCCGAAAAACCAAATGAACAATCCAGACCTCTCAATGCCTCATTCAAGCACATTACAGGACATGGAATTTACCCAAACAAAAAAAAAGAAGTTAGAAACATTAAACCCAGAGAGAGCTCAGATCATAGTCATCACATAAAGACCCATATAATCAATCATCATAACTAAATAAAGCAACAAGCTCAAACAAAAAGACTGTTAATAACTTAAAATCATACCTCTTGTAGGCATTGGATGGAAGAGCTCTTTAATGGCAACAGCATCCAAGAGTGGCCCACAGGTAGGATCCTCTTGAACCCCAGGATTGTGGAAAATCACCTTCACAGCATTAGATTTGGCTATGAACCCCCAAGCATAGGTATCAGCACCATCACTACTATACAGTGTCTGAATAGGAAGGTCTCCTGATTGAGGAGGCACTGAGATTCTCAACACCTCATCTTGTGCACAAGTTCTTGATGCACCAAATGTTAGTGCATAGAGAGACCCATTTTTCACTGGGATTGTCTGAGAGATTGAGGCCTCGTTTCCGAGCCTCACTGCGTGGACGCCGTGGGCCACTGCAAAGTACATTCCACCGGGCTGTGGGCCGCCATGGATGTACTCCACCAAGCCACTGATTTCCCATTTGGGTAGTGAGTATTTTCCTTGGAGTACTGTTTTTTTGAGGTCAGTTGGTTTTGGTTTGGTTTCAAAGTTGCCATTTGGTAAAAATCCTGAAGAAAGAACAAGAATAAAATTGAATTTGAGAGGTGTCACTAAATAAATGTAGAAATTAGCAACATGGTAATGAAGTTAGAATCGAATCAAAAAAAAAAACCCCAAACAAGTGGTTTTGTGTGTGTGTGTGTGAGAGAGAGTGAATAGAAAGTTTCCACCTTACTTCTTCAATATTTTTACCACAATATCATAATTTCGAACTTATTTACCAAAACTAATTTGTTTTTATGTGGTCATACGTGCAAAACACAATTTGCACTAAAATGTTTTTGAAAAACACGCTTTCAATGCAAAATATGTGGAAAGTATGATGTGTTTTTCAAAATATGTTTTTGAAAAACACACAAATATGTTGAAAGTGTTCAAAAAATAAAATGCAAAATATGTTGAAAGTATGGTATTTTCATAAAAAAGTTTAAAAAGTACCATAAATCATAAAAAATTCAGATCAACATTGATGTGAAAATACATAAAGAAAAACCTTGAATAAAGATAAACACATCAGAACTCCATAAACCAGAAGAAGAAAATCCCACATTAGTGACACTCATATACACAACACACACAGAGAGAGAGAGAGAGAGAGAGAGAGAGAGAGAGAGAGAGAAAATGATCAAGGACGAGCAACAAACAAAGAAGACAAGATTTTGCACTAAAACCACCTCAAAAATATTGCAAATAAACAAGTCCAAAAACAGATCTAGCTAAATAGAACAGACCACAATGTGATGAACATAAAAGAAAGCTGAATGAATAGAGAATGATGGGTTACCTTCTAGAGGAATAACAGCAAAAGCAGAACCACTGAAGAGGAAGCAAAGAGCAATCAACAATGAGATCAAGACAGCCATTGTTGCATAGAGAAGACCACAAGCAAGGGAGAGAGAACAGGTAGAGTGGAATGGGTTTAAGATGGGTATAGTAAGGGGCTCTATGCTTTAATTTATATCAGAGAGAGAGAGAGAGAAGAGGGGGGGGGGGGGGGGGGGGGGGGGGGCTGCAGTTTACAGAGTACTAGTATACATCTGTCTGTTGGTTGGTCACAGCATTTTGTGCTTTAGGAACTGACTTTTTCCTCGCAATTCATGCAATGGCATTTATGTAAAAATACTATTTTGATTTTGGACTTTTTGTTTTGATCTGGAAACTTTAGACAGCAATTAGATAGCATATTGTTGCCGAATAATTCTAGGCTTGGATTAGTGAACATTCATTTGCCACCTCATTTGATATCTGAAATTTGGTAAAATTTTTGATATTCATGTCATTATTTTCTTTTAATTTGTTAACATAATAATGTGTTAAATAATAGAATTTCAGTAAAAAAACTCTAACAGTTATGATAACAAACTTACAATAGTATTATTAGACCACATCATTACTATACTATTAGATTAGTAAATTAGATTAACTTTTTACAAAAAAAATAGCACTACTCTATTCTTCTCGTCTTATCTCTTTTTTACTTTTTTTTTTCAATGGTTAGGGGAGTCGGGACGTACTCATAGTTCTCTCTCTATAGCCCCCAAAATTGTAGAGGAGAGTTAAAAAGATAATGAGTCGTAGGGGAGAGTTAAAAAGATAATGAGTAGTTTACGCATATATCGACTAAATTTTTTTTTGGTCCGATTAAAAATAGAGATTATCCAAGTCAAGATTAGAGTATTCATAAGAGATAAAATCTCTCATGACTTGACCTCATGAATTATCAAAATTCGAACTCAAAACGTTTAAGTTTATAATTCATTTTTATTACCACTTGAGCTACCATTGAGATGTTCCCTTTTTTTAAAATTCAAATTCTTCACTATTGCACACCTTGATTTACTTGCCTGAAAAGAAAATGATTTTATTTTAAAAAATACAGTTTTTTTTTTGCATCAATTTTACTAACTCAAATAATTTTTTGCCTTCTAAAATAAATATCAAAGAGTATTGAAAATTTCTTCAATTAGCTAGAATATATGATTAACCATTTTCCACTCATCTTAATGTAAGTTTGAATTGGATTAACTGAAGCATAACAAAACTAGCAATAATCCTGTGTTTGATGACACCTTGCAATATTTAAAATTGAGCATTGATCGTAAAATTTTTTATTTTTTAAATAACAATTTATTTTTTTATTTGATTACATAATTTAAAATTAGAGTAGATATAGAGAAAATAAAAGAGATATGTGTGAATTAATGGAGCTGTCTGATATTTGAGAGAATGTTGATTGGTTATTCGTGATCAATTTGATTAGTTCATACAATTTTTCAGTATTATTGTATGGCTATGCTTTAATTAAAAAATTAAAAGAAATTGGAAAAATCTATTTTGTAAGCAATTGAAAAGTAGTGTAATTCCCTTGAAAAAAAAAAATCATTTAGTTGGAGTTTGCTCTTCTCAACTGTAGGAATTAATGGGGTGGTAGCTGTCATTGTTTATTTTCTGATCTAATAAATATTCAAGTCATACTCATGGCAGCGTTGTGCATGACAGGGAATGATAAAATCTTGGTTGCTGCCTGCACATGGTTCACAGTCGCAGGAAGAAAATATTAATGGTTACACCACGGCATTGTTAGGAGTGTTAAAAAATTTCTCCACCCGACCCGTTTTGTAATATTTTGATCCTAACCTAGGCAATAATTCGACTTTTTTGTTTTTTTGGGCCGGTTAATGAATGTTTTTTTTTAACATTCCGTGAATATTGGGTAGAAATATAAAATCACTATAATATTTTCGCATTCTTACTTGACCCGCATGTATATTTGATATTTTTTTTAAAATAATGTGTTTTATAAAATAACGTCGTTTTGTTTATTATAAAATAATGTCGTTTAGGAATCATATGACTTGTGATTGACTTTTATTTATGGTGTTTTAGCCTATTAGAGAACATATTAATTATATTTATTTTGTTTTCTTTAATTTTATTAGTTTATTGTGTTGGTTTATATATCTTTATTTTATATTTTAGCAATCTAGTTGTAAACGTAGTCCAAATTTTGGTAATTGAGTTATTAAATTGACCAAAAAATCAATAACTTAAAATTTGAAAAATTATTAAGCATTCTGCATTCCCACCCGACATTTCGAGCTAATATTTTAGACAGACTCCGGTTCGAAACATTACCCTCAATCGGACGGGGTTGACCCAAAAAAAAAAAGTCTTCCACAAGTCATTGGCTCAAAACATAGAATCCAAAAAGTTTTGTATCATACCTTCTAAATTTACTATTTTAATGATTATTTTTATAATTTTTGTGGGTTATTTTACAACCAAAAAATTTATCACACTTGTTGGTGATTTACTGAGTATTTTTACCACTGTTGTAATAATTATTTTCACCATTTCTTTTTGTACAAAAAATTTATCACTTTTTTGTGGATTATTTACTACATTAATGAATATTTTTATCACTATTGTCAATTTTTTTATCATTATTATAGTAATCATTTTTATCACTTTTTTATGTATCACAACAAACAATAGTGATAAAAATATACTCACAAATGTAATAAAAGTTGATACGGTACAAAAATTATATAGTAGATAACTCACATACATCTAATATGAAACAAGACCGGTTTTAATAAATTTGTTCGACAATTTTAAATAAACTCATCAAAAATCACTAACATTCCTCTTAAAATCATTCACATTACACCGTATCTTTACACGAGATATCCTAATTAATATATGCGCACACATATGCATAAGAACTTTTAATAATCTAAAACCAAAAAGTACCATGATACATTTGTCGGTTTGTCTCAGCACTTTTCTGCTTCAAGAACTGACTTTTTCTCCTGAATTCATGCAATGCAATTTATTTAAATATTATTTTGACGATAGGTCCCCTTTTTTTAAAAATTTTTTTACCTTTCATCCAGTAACATTTAACATGTATAAAATTCTTTAATTTTTAATCTTTTTATATTTTTAATCAATAATTACAAATTATTCAAATCAAAATTAACTCCAAAGATGAATTTACTATTCAATTAGCAAGCTTTAGAATGGTAAAGAAAGCCTTCTTTCTTTCTTTTTTTAGTTTTTTCCCCAACTTTTGTGAATCTAAATTGTTCACTATTGACTGATTTTTTATTTTTTATTTTTCATAAAAGGGAAAAAGGGGTTGGAACCTGCAATCGCCTGCAGCGGAAGCGAGTCGTTATGACCGAGTCACTCCCTTACCTGTATTATTAGCTACTTTGCTGAATCAACATTAAAAGAAAATTATTTTATTTTATTTTTAAAATATAAAAATGCACCAAGTTTATTAACTCTAGGTTACCCCTATCATAAAAGAAATTATTGTGATCAATTCGATTATTTCATACTCTTGTTCCGTTTTGGTACGATAAAAAAATAGAAGGATGAAAAATTAAAATGATGAAAAGTTCGAGGATAAATAAAATATTATGTTTGGTAAAGAAAGAAAATAAGAAGAATGAAAAAATAGATAAATGAACTTTCCAAAATTGAACAGAAAATGAAGGACAATAGTACTCACGTTGAATTAAATATGTTATTTATTTTTTTAACCTTTAACTAATTACTTATGTACATTAAATACCTACACCCAAACTCATATACCAATCGGTGGAATTACATTATGTGCTAACAATATGTGAGTGTTTTTGTATATTAATGTGTTTATTTTTTATTTAAAAATCAAATTAAAAAATTGATGTATTTTTATGTGATTTGTGTTTGTTAAAATACATGACACATACATTATAGTGACATGTTGTATAATATATATACTAATCTCATATAAGGATAAAATAGTAAATTATGTATGTATATTATTTCTATCTTTCTATTTTTTTTATCAATACCAAACACAAAAAATTAATCATTTTTACTTTTCATCCATCTTACTAGACACAAAGGAAGAAAAATGTATTATTCATAATTTCTTTCCTTGAAGGATAAAAAAAGTATCTCTCCTACTTTCTATCCCTCCTATCAAACGGAGCATTAAGAGATGTTGTAGCTATCTGCAGGAGAACATTGAAGAACAATGTTATTTGACTAATATATGGAGTGACCGATCTATATATTCATTTAATGAAAAATTATGTAACTGATCTCAAAAATATTGAAACCAAACTTGATTGAATAGAGTAGTAGAGGAGACAGATGTACAAAATGACAGCTGAATCACAGCTATGTATCATTTAGTTGGAGTTTGCTCATCTCAACAGTAAGAAAGTTTGAGATCGACCAAAGAAGGAAAAGAAAAACTCTGAATTGTAATCGTAAGTCAGACGCGTTGTAACAGGGAATGATAAAAATCTAGGTTGTTGCCAGCACATGCTTGCACGTTCAAACGTGACCAAACATTGGCCCTACCACAATCATTAAAAAAAATTATATATCACCCCCCAAAAGCAATTCTTTTTTTACCAACGTGACCAAACATTGGTATACTACCATTAATACATAATTTTTTTAAAGCAATTTACATTTTTTGAGAGTTTTTTCGATTGATCATAAAATTTAGAATTGTTACCAAACACCTAAAAGATTATTATTGAACACTAAAAATTATATATCACTCCCGAAAAATTATAATTTTTTTAGGATCGGTCGTAACACAGTAGTATTGATCTTAATTCTTTTTTTTTTTTAGTTGTAACTAACTATACCTAAAACTAATATCTTAACCAATAAAACTTATAAACTTTGATACCGTACCCCTTTCGATATTGAAATGAAATACTCTAAAAAAAAAGAGTAAGAATGAGAGTCGATATATGAAAATCAAATTGGGGATTTTATTTAAAACTAGGGGTAACCCGTACTTGAAAGTACGGTGTAATATGAATAATTTTAAGAGGAATGTTACTGGGCGTTAGATGAGTCTATTTGAGACTGTCGAATAAACTTATTGAAGTTTGTCATATTTTATATTATAAATAGGTTAAATTATGTTCTCTGACCTGAAAAAAGATTATGCTTTTGTTGCACTATAGAAGTAAAGCTCGAACTCTTGATCCATTTGAAATTTAAGAGTTTTCTAATTACTCGAGATAAATTCAAAGGTCCTGAAGTAATTTTGACTATTTATATCTTTTAAAATTTTATATTGACTTTTATTCCTTGATTTTTCCGGAATTTTTAACAATTTTAATTTAGTCTAAAATTATATAAAAAATGTATGTAAAATTTTAAAGTAAAAGAAATTTGGTGTTACTAAGCTAAATTACAAATAAATAAGAACAATGTTGGGGATCCCAAATTTTGAATTTAAATTTGAATAAACATACATGAATTAATAATTTTTAATGGTAATTCAAATTCACTTTCAAATCCGTTACCTCATATTTGTATCTGCAACCGCCACCGAATCAGACATTTATATTTGTATGAATTTACAATGAAATTAAGTTATTATTTGATAAAATTTTATTCAAAGTTAGATATAATTTATTAAAATACTATTTGATTTAGTTATTCGAATATGATCGGATATCCGATTCTTAATTGATTTCGAATATGGATTATAAAAATAAAATTAATGGGATAATTAGATCAAATTAAAACTGAATTGACTATAGTTCGATCCAAATGTGACTCATTGATAGAAGCATAGAGAAGATTGTGAGAAGAGTGACAATTGTAACGTCGGAACATATTTAAGTTACCATATATTTATTAAGCGTAAACTTTTGGTCTCAAAATTTTTATTCATGGGACATGCAGATTAATTTAAATATGATATTTTAATAAGTAATTTGAATCAATATTAAAAAAGATCAATTAAATAAAATTAAATTAAAACTACAAGATATATAATTCAAATTAAAAAATAACGTGATCATAAGACTCAAATAGACACCCTTATTCCTCATATACGTTAACTAGCTATTAGTTAGTTTGGAGAGTAAGTTCTCCTCTAATATACACATAAATTTAATTTTTAAAAATTTAAGTAAAATTTATTATATATAAGTGAATTAATTATAAATAATATCCCAAGAAACAATTAAAAAATATTGAAGGGATCTAAATTCCTACTTCCTAGTATGATACATTTATCTTTTTGAAAACATCCTATTGGTGGGGTCCATGGTGTCGGTGGGTCACATAATTGATCTGGAATTGCTAGGATTTTTAATGTGCCCAACACATGCATCTTCTGACATTCATTTGAGAAATTATGGCTTTTCACATGTTCTGTAACATTAATATTACAAAAATTTCACTGACATACCTTAAACTTTTATCAAATGACATTCACACACAGTTTTTTTAAGAAAATATCTCCATGAAGTTTGCCACTCTTCCATTTTGTCTCGCTGAATTGGACGGCAAATAGTATTTCATCTCTCTCTTTCTAACCCATCTTTTCCCTACCCTTTCACTTTTTTCTTCATCCTATACTACCACTGCCACCGTCGTCAGGTATATCCACCATCCTTTCTGAGGTCCACCATAAAATAATCTTCATTCCAAATCGGCATAATCACCCATTACTTCTTTTTTTTATCCCTCCCATTTCTTGGCCAATTTTAGCACCACATAAATATTCTTTCGCTTCTTAAAGGGGCTTCAAAATCTTTGATTATGATTTGACAACTAGACCCGGCCACATGACAAGGATTAGACTACGGTACATCTCCTTGAATTTTCGGTAGGGTACTAAAAATCTATGCCGGCGAAAAGTTAAAAAAACCACCGCTGAATGAAGAAGAAATGGACATGTGTAAAGCAAAAGTAGAGCAACTAGATTGCCCGGTTGCTCACTTACAATGTAGAACAATGATGGATGGGAAGATGTACTACAACGATGAGTGAATTACAAAGATAATTGAATATTTATAATATTATTTCCAAGATTTACAACGACAATGATATTTTTATAAAATCAGTAGAACCAAGTACAACAATAATGGGGTATTTACACTATTAATAAGAAATGTAAAAAAATAATGGGAAAGGTACAAAAGTAAACGTATATTTACGAAAAAATTTACGACTCGTAGTCAATGTAATAAGTGATTGATCAATGTAATTTATGATCGATCGAATAAATGTATGATCGATCATTATGTGGTAAGGTGTTGTGTAAGAAAATGAAATTTTGGAAAATAAATAAATATATAATTTGACCGATCACGAATATCAATGTCGATCATGGTGCCTCACTAAGATGTTTTTATAAAATCATTGCAATGTTAACGATATTACTAGGTAAAAGTACAAAATTAATGTTATAATTACAACAAGAGTGAAAAATTTTGAAATTCAGTGACAAACTTCAAATGTAATGGAGTATTTACTACATCAGTAAGAAATGTACAATAGTAATTGGGATAGGTACAAATGTAAAAATATATTTACAAGCATAATGGATAAATTTACGAGAATACTATAGTTGTAGTCAACGTAATTGATCGATCAATGTAATATATGATCGATCAATCAAATAAACATATGATCGATCAATATGTGGTAAGGAGTGGTGTAAAAAAAAAGAATTTTTGAAAAAAAATAAAAATATATATAATTTGACTGATCACGAATATGAATGATCGATTATATTGGCTCAATAAGGTATTTTTACAAAATCATTACGAGGTTAACGATATTAGTGGGCAAATTACATAATGAATGGAATAATTATAACAACAGTGAGAAATTTTGAAAATCAGTTAACAAAAACTACAAAAGTGATGGAGTATTTATTACATCAGTAAGAAATGTACAAACGTAATTGGGATACGTACAAAATTAAAGATATATTTTATAACTATAGTGGATAAATTTACAAGGATAATAGACTTGTAGTCAACGTAATAGATCGATCAGTATAATATATGATCAATCATTAGTATTGATCGATCAAATAAATATATGACCGATCAGTATGTGGTAAGTGTAGTGAAAAAAGAAAAACGAAAAGTAATTGAATTCGATCAATCAAACGTATATGGTGATCGATCATATTGGTACAGGTCTGTAGTTTGAATCAAAAGTAATTAAAGTATTATGTGGGTCTGATCGATCGTGTAAAAATATGATAGATCAGTAAGTAATAAGTGTATTTGATCAATCAAAAAAATCATATTAATCGATCATATTGTTGCAGAATTGAAATATGAATCATAAGTAATAAAAGTACTGGGAGAGAGGATCGATCGTTAAAAATTTTGATCGATCAAATTAGTAAGTAAATTCGATCGATCAAACATATATATTGATCGATCATGTTATTGTAGATTTGTAATGTGAATCAGAAGTAAAAGTACTGAGGATATTTGATCAATCGTAAAAAAAAAAAAAAAGGATAGATCAGTAAGCAGTAAATGAATTTGATCGATCAAAACTGTATATTAATCAATCCAATTGTTGCAGATATCTAATGTGAATCAGAAGTTAAAAAAAAATACTGGGGAGATTTGATCGATCATGTAAACAATATGATAGATCAGTAAGTAGTAAGCTAATTCGATCGATCAAAATTTTATAGTGATCGATCATATTGTTGCAAATCATAAATACTGGAGACATCTGATCAATCAATTATGTATAATGATCGATCATGGAGTTACAGATGTAGAAGTTGAAGGGGCAAGTGAATTACAATCGATCGAAAATAAATATGATAGATCAGGTATGATGTATTTACTTAAATGCCCACAAAGAGTAATTAATTAAAGGGTTGTAAGGGGGACTTTGTAGTAAATAAACATCAGATGATACGCAAATAAATCCTCAAATCCTACAAAATTACCCCTAAATCGCTCACGCCTACAAAATTCATTCAAAATATCTCAATTCCATAAACCCTAAATCACCCACCACCCCAAATCCCTTTCATCAATCGTGTACACAAATGCGATCGCCTACACAAACTACTTCCATTGTGAATCTTTATACGGAGAAGAGTGAAATTTCCACTGTGAATGTTTGTTGTGAATAATTGCTGAAGAAGAGTGAAGTTTCCCTTTGGAGCTTTGTTGATGTTGGGCGGAGAGACGAAGAAACGGAAGCAGGTGGTTAGCGGGGGGAGTTCTGGTAATGCGAAACTCTTTGTAGATAAAGATGCTAAGAAGAGGTATGATACATTCATTGCTAAACGTCATCTGCTACTTGAGCGTGATGTTTACCTCGATGAGCTTGTAGGCAGTGTGGATTCCCCTTAAATACTTCGGGCTCAAAAATGGGATCCTCTATTTGATATGAATGTGGAAGATAAAGTATACGTTGATCTGGTTAAGTTTTTTTACGCAAATGTTAATGAGTACAAGGAGAATGAGCTGACATTTAAGACACTGGTTAGGAAGAAATCCATCACTGTTTCGCCTGATCTTATTTCCAATATATTAAAAATTGATATACCAGACTTTCCTGAGAATTCCATTATCTTTCCATATTCATGTAAGGAGCAGGTTCCCGAAATGGCGATGGTTATTCAACGTATTTGTATTGGGAGTGTCCCTTGGGAGAATGAGAAAAGCAAAATTGCTCACTTTGACCTTACTCCACCGTATAGGATGATAAACCGAATTGTTACCTATAATATACATCCGAGGGGTCATACTACTGAGATTGGATAAGATACAACTCAACTATTATATGCTATTGCTAAACGTGGGGTTATTATTGATCTACCCCTTTACATATTCAACCATGTTCGCAAAGCATCTACTGTCAAGGTTTGCAAGCTATGTCTTCTATTTTCAATATTAATTTTCAAGATTTTGAAGCATAGTGGGGTTGAATTTCAACAGAATGACAGTTTTATGTACCCCATGAATGCAATGGGTATGGGTACACTTAATAAAAGTGTGGGAGCTATTCTGGGTGTGAAACGAGCCAAGCATGTGAGGTAGCCATCAGCGGTGTCTCAGGTTGTAGGTAATCAGGCTAGGGCTAATCAAGGTGGTTCTGATGTTGGTACTAGTAAGGTTGGACAAACACTTTAGCAAATGGCTGAAAAGTTGGAGGCCCGATTTGAAAAGTTCGAAGATGAAACGAAGGGGTCGTTGCAGCGTCTCGAGACAAAATTAGATTGTTTTCATAAGGACTTTAAAGAGTACATCAACAAATGACACATTGGTTTTGTGTTTTTTTTGTGAATCTTTTGTTGTATAGTTTCAGACTAGGCATTTTGGCAAGGGTGTTGTAGATGTTGGGTGCATGGTTGTTAAATATATTGGCTAGTAGTTCTAAACAAATTGTGGCTGGATGATTTTTGAGTTTTGTTACGGTGAATGTGATGTTTGTGTTTTCTTTCATGTTAATTTGATTTTAACAATGAAGTAATGGAAATGATGCAGATAAATTGTACATCTGCACATTAGGTGGGATTAATTGTAACAACATAATTAGATGTTTAGACACGCTTTCTTCACTTTGCCATTGTGATGTATACAGGAAAGACAGTGTAGTGAAGTTGAACCTTTCATGCAACTTAAGAATCTTAAGAATATTTTTGGTGAATCTTTTGTTGTATAGTAATATTTGGCATTTTGGCAAGGGTGTTGTAGATGTTGGGTGCATAGTTGTTAAATATATTGGTTAGTAGTTATAAACAAATTGAGGTTTCATGGTTTTTAAGTTTTGTTATGGTGAATGTGAGGTTCGTGCGTTCTTTCATGTTTATTTGATTTTAACAATGAAGTAATGCAAAGGATACAGATAAATTTTACATCCGCACACTAGGTGGTATTAATTGTAACAACATATTATATGTTTATACATGCTTCCTTCATGTTACCCTTGTCATGTATACAGGAAAGACATTATTAGTGAAGTTGAACCTTGCATGCAACTTAAGAAAGATGCATTGTGTGGTCAGCTGCCGTAGAGCAAAAGAGTGATTATCCCAGATTATTCCAGTGGCCAGATGTGTACATGTTAACAGTGCAAGAAGTATTCAGTGCAATATGCTAATAAAATTGTGGAATAGTTTGTACCAAATATCTAAATGCAATGACAAAGCACATGTAGTCGTACTCACCTCCAAAATGATTAAAGAAGTATTAATCTACTGGCCGTGCACATTTGGATCAAAAGCAAGGATCACGTGCTATTAAAAAAATAAAATTTGATATCAAAACCATATTGGTATGTAATAAATTTCCCAAAGTAATTAAAAGGTGATAATGTATGAAATCTGGTATCAGAGGACATTGTAATTGTAAGTAGGATTCCAATGGTCGTCTTCTTGAGTAGAAGGCATGGGATGTTGGGAGCCACCAGGTTGTGAGAAGGGCATGTCATCATGTGGGTCGTCTGCATGACACGTAAGCTGTGGACACTTACGAATAGTATGTCCAATGCCACGACATTTACTACATCGTCGCGGAGCTATTGGAAGGCTCTTCTGTACACAGCCCAGATTGCCTTTAGTTGTCACTGTCTTGGGATTGCCGACACCAAAATTTCGGTTCGACACAGTGTCATTATCTTTGTCATGCGATGTTGACACCTATCTTGCCTCGCGTGTATCATGACGTTGTTTCGTGCAGTTGGTTACTGTAGTTATTGTTGTTTGAAGCTCCTCTGCGTCCTCAAGCAAATGTATTGTGTAGTAACACATCCGACTACACATTGACATTAATCCATCATATCGGCAAGAAATAGATACAGTTCTTGATGTTTGAGGCACAGAGGTTAGCGGGCAAGCTAAGTTTGCAATAATTGTCCATCGCTTTAGAATAGTACTAGGAGGGAACTCTGTTATGTGTTCAGTTTTCAAAACTGTAATGATGTGTGAGTAAGGAAGTCCAACATATTGTAATTTCAGGCAATTGCATTTGATGGTGTGATTCTGATAATCATATATCACATTCCGATTGGATGTTGGTTTTGTGTACTTCGACAGAAAATAACACAAATGACTACTGTGCTAAATTTTTGGACCACGAAGAAGAGCCCTTCGGCCTTTATATGATCCCGAACTTTAAAAAAAATTGACTTGGTATACAGTGACGCAGCGTGCTGCAGCAGTGTAGTGAAGTGGTCAACATTGGTGTATTGTTTTTAGAATAATGGTTATCATAGGCTTCAGTCTCTCAAATTTTTGATACACCACTATCATACTGTCTAACAAACTCATACAAACGAAGCCTTGTTTTTAGGAAACGATTCAAATAATCATTTAAGCTTTTTGAGTGTTGCGTGTTTTTGATGCCGCCAAAGAAATGACCCCGCAAGGATGCTTCAGCCCATTTCCAACGCTTTGTGTATACATCTGATATCCAGTTGTTATCGTCCAGCCCAAATGAATGTACCATTAATTCCCACATAACGTCAAATTCCTAAGGTGTACATCGGGAACACATACATTTCTTGAACTCGTGAAAAAAAAATTCAGCATGAATATTTTGAAGCGCATTTCTCTCCAAATGCTAGCTGCACAGTCTGTGTTTTGCAGGTGGAAAAATTCTTTCGATTGCGGCGACCATGGCCTTGTCCCCATCGGTGACAACTGATACAAGCTTTTTATTATCCATTGCATCCAGAAATGTCTCCAACACCTACACATATGTGTCCATGGTCTCATATGAAAGTAATGCACATCCAAAAA